TAGCAGAAGCATTTATGTAGTCCTGCGCGAGTTTTCTTTTTGTTTTTAATGCGATGCGAATAGCAGAAGCATTTATGTAGTCCTTCGCGAGTTTTCTTTTTATTTTTTTTTCTTTCTTACTTTCTCGACGTACGCATCAAAGTGGTCATTTTGTGGCACGATTATCATAGCAATGAAGCATCAGAAAATACTCATTTAAACGCAATAATAAAATATCGAGATCGAACTTATATGACATGTTTTCCAATTTTCAACAAGACGTTTAGTTATTTCACAGGAAGCGTCACAAAAACACGATTTTGACTTTTTCAAATTTCAAGATAATTAAAACGTAAAGTAAAAGCAAAGGTTAGGCGCCATTTTTCGTTAACAACTATATTCACAGCTGAAACAACAGCTGATTGCCAACGTTTTTTTTTCCCCATATTTGAAGATAATTAAAATTTAAATAGCATGAAAAGTTAGCTGTTAATTCTTATGAACAAATCAATTTAATCGTTTTAGTCTCTATTCAAATTAAATGTTTATTTTTGATAGGGGTTTCATAGTTATATATTGTGTTATGGCAAGCAATCTTAATTAGGTTTTATTCGAAAACTGCTGTGAACTTCATTGTGCTTTTATATATATTAAACAATTGAATCACAAATTTTTTTCATTGAAATAAAAGATTAATCGATTTTACTTTTTATTCTAGATTCTTATTCTTATAGATTATGTTTTAGATATGCTGTGTTATGGAATACATTTTAAATAATTATTTTTATATATTAATTTTAGATGGTCATTTATACAGATCGTATGTTAGATTTTTATTTCTATAGATTCTATTTCAGATAATTGTTATAATATATTACATTTTAGATTTCGTTTTTTTACAGTATATGTTGTAGATCATCATTTTTATACATTATATGATTATGTATTTTTTTTTAAATGATTACATTTTAGATGCATACTATTTTATATTATATTGAGAGTTATATTTTAACAGTTTATATTCTAGATAATCATTTTTATATATTTTCTAGATCATATTTTAGATAACCATTCTCATGCTTTATATTTTTAGACTCACTTTTATTCATAATATTCTACAAGTTCATCTTCATAGTTTATATGTCAAATTTTATTCTTTGATTTTGTCAAATATAAAGTAAATAAAAAAATCGAAAATATTTAAAGAAATTTTAACAATTGATTACTTAATTTTAGATCCAAATTCTCATACAATATATTAAACATTATTTAAAGAAAAATTTAAACAAAAAAAGTTTTAAAAAAAGTCATCAAGTTTTTTTGACTTTTAAACAGTTTCTCACTTAGTAAGGAATACATCTTGTTCAAGTATCACACAAGATATTATTCAAGAGAAACTTTTATTTTTACCATCTCACTAAGTTACGAGGTGTGTAAACGTTTTTAAATAAGGAGTGAAAGACGTACGTTCTATACATATACGATCTTGAACTCAAAAAAAAACGTTAATCATTCTGAGTTATAACAGTTTTATTTATCATATTTGATTTTTTGAACATGGTTCGTAAAAAATCAACTGCTGCTAAAGTTAAATCACGTCAAGAAGCGTATCGACGGCGAGTTGAAGCTAAGAAAGATTCTAATTGCAATGATACTGCTTCTAATCAATCAGAGGACAAATCTTTTGATCCAGTTAACAATAAAGAATATCTTGAAAATTTGAATATTATTCAAAGCACTATCAAAAAAGTTGTTTCGAAAGTTTGCCGTTTAGAAAGTGAAAGAAACCGACAAAAAAAACTCAGAGAAAAGAAAAATTTATTAATTGCTACGATGGAAAATGAAACATTAATTTTAAAACGAAACAGACAGCGTGATTGGTTTAAAAGAAAATATTCAGAGAATCTTTCGTTTCGTTCAAAAATACAAGAGCATTCGTTGAAAGAAAATCGATATAAATATATGCAAAAGACTGATTTTTATTTAAAAGAAACGAATCGTTTAAGAGCACATGGTTTAGAAAAATATCGAAAGAATATAGAATTTCGAAACAAACTAATAGCTCGTTCCAAAAAATATTTTTCAAACAAATATCATCTAGATAAGAAACAACGTGAACAAAAAATAGGTAAATCTAAGACATATATTTTAAATAAATATCATAATGATAGAAAATTTCGTCAAGAAATTATAAATCGATCTAAAAACTGCATTTTAAGTAAATATCATAATGATATAGAATTTCGTCGAAAGAGACTAGCTGAATCTAAAGCATATATGTTCAACAAATATCGAACCAATGCAATATTTCGAAATCAGTATAAGGCTCGTCAAAGAATACAAGAATTCGATAAATATAATAACAACAATGAAATTAGATTAAGAAAACGAAAATACGCAATTAATTTTTATCGAAATAATTATACACCTAACATACAAAAACAAAGACAATTGTATAATCAAAGAAGACGTATTAAAAAAAAATATATTATTGCTCAAAGTCATAATTGCGTATTGAAGCATCGAAATTTGTATATAAAAAATTTAAAAATATTTAGAGATGTAATTCAAGAAGGACCAGATTACACTTGTCGAGTTTGTGGTTTAGCATTGTTTCGTAATCAAGTTATACCATATATAGAAGAAAAATATATTACAAAAAATATGTCATTTGAAATGAAAGAACGTATTCGATCTTACTTGAATAATTGTTCATCAATAGAAGACACATGGATTTGTAAATTATGTTCAGATAAAATTAAAAAAAAAGAAATGCCAAGTCGAGCAATTGTAAATAAACTAGAAGTCAGTGAGGTTCCATCTGAATTAAAAAAATTAAATGATCTTGAAAAACATTTAATTGCTTTACGTTTACCATTTATGAAAATTGTAAATTTAATATCAGGTAAATTATCAAGTAGATTATCACAGAAAGGTACAAAAGGACCACTTCATTGTGTACCATCAGATGTACAAGATACAGCATTAGTATTACCACGTCCAGTTGATAAATCGATGATGGTACGATTACAATTAAAACGTCGATTAAAATATAAAGCTGTATGGGAAGAACAATTAATAAATCCACATGATGTAAGAGATGCATTAATTTTACTATGTAAAATACATCCAGCATATAAAAATATACAAATAAATGAAATTGATGAAAATTATCTTACATCAGATAGAGTAGATAATATTGAAAATAATGATGAATCAATGGATGTTGATATAGTTGTAGAAGATCAAAATTCAACTATAGAAATAGAAAAATTAAATGAAGATTGTACTAAAAGATTAACTTTAGGTGATATAGATAATAATAATACTAAAAATGATGATGAGGAAGAAGAAGATGATAAAGATATTCGTACCAAATATAATATTGGTACAGATTGCTGTACTCAACCATGTGATTTTAATGATTTTGTAGTATTTGATAAACAACCATCTGTTGTAGCACCAGCAGAAAAAAATAAATTAAGTTCATTGTTGACTGATAAAACAATTGAACCATTAGCTTTTCCACATCTGTTTCCTGATGGAAAAGGTTCATATGATGAAGAACGTTTAGTTGATCTAAAATGGAAAGAATATTGTAAAGCACGATTATTTTCAGCAGATTCACGTTTTGCTGGAGATTCAAGTTATATTTTTTTTCTACAATACTTAGGTGATTTAAAACAAGTATATTCTGGCATCAATGTTGCATTTCGTAAAAAACTACCAATGAATGCTAAACAAAGTTTAGATGAAAATCAAATGAAATTTTTAATGAAAACAGATATGATCTATCGTCATTTACAAACAGTTCGAGGTAGTCCACAATTTTGGAAACAGAATTTAAAAAATTTGTTTGGAATGACACGTCAAATAGATTTTTCTCATTTTTTTCTCACGTTTTCATGTGCTGATTTACGTTGGAAAGAATTTATGAATGTTTTTGTTCGTCATAGTAAAACAAAAAATAAAGAATCATATACATTTGAAGAGAAAACAAAACTTTTAAGATCTAATCCTGTTTTAGCTGCTCGTATGTTTGAAAAACGATTCAATACTTTTATGAATTTGTTTATTAAAGGTGGAGCATGGTCTTTAGGAAAAGTAACAGATTGGTTTATTCGTATTGAAATGCAATTACGAGGTTCACCACATGCTCATATGCCAATTTGGGTTAAAGATGCACCTAAATATAGTGGACCTAAAACAGATAATGAAACACGTAAAAAAATTGTTGAGTTTTGTGATAAATATATAACAACAAGGTTTCCTTCTCTTAATGAAGATCCGATTTTGCATAATCAGATCAAAGACTTTCAAACACATTCACGTAATCATTCCAAAAGATGTGTAAGATATCCTGGCAAACCTTGTATTTTTATTTTTCCACGTGCAGTTGCTCTTCGCACATTCATATGTGAACCAATTAAAATTGAGAATGATGAAGATAAAGAACGTTACAAGAAAATAAAAAAAATTCTTATTGAAATGAATGCAGCAATGAATCTTTTAGAAAAAGAAAAGATATTAACATGGTCTGATTTTGACAATCTTTTAGTTAAATATAATTGGACATATGATGAGTATGAATTTGCACTTCGAATTATTCATACTCGACCAACTATCATTCATAAAAGAGAACCTAATGCACGATGGGTTAATCAATATAATGAAGAATTATTAAGAGCATGGGATGCTAATATGGATATTCAATTTGTTCTTGATCCATATGCATGTGCAAAATATATCATGTCGTATACAACTAAACCAGAAAAAGAAATGAGTCTATTACTAGAAGCTACACATAAAGAATGTCGTGAAGGTAATATGACAGTACGAGAAGAAATGAAAAAACTTACAGGTACATTTTTTAATAATCGACAAGTGAGTGTACAAGAGGCTATTTATCGTGCTACTAAAATGCCACTTATACATTCAAGTCGAGGTTTTGTTTTTGTACCAGCACATTCAAATAGTTGTAAATTTTTAAAACCACCTAATATATTAAAACAAATGGATCCAGAAGATGATGATATATACATGTCTAATCTAGCAGATAAATATTTTGATAGACCAATGGATCCTGAATTTGATATTTGTATGGCAGATTTTGCATCCGAATACGAAATAAAATCTGTTAATAATAATATTAAAAATCCAAAAACACCAATTAAACGTTTACAAACACTTAATTTTGCTGTAAAAAAACGTTGTAATCGTAATGCTATTATTCGTTATCCCTATTTTAATCGAGAAACGGATAAAGAAAATTATTTCGAAAATTTACTTTGTCTTTATTTACCTATAAGAAATCGAAATGAATTGGAAAAACCATACGAATTATTTTATCAAACAGCTGAAGTCTTTGATAATCGACAACAATGTCTAAGAAAAGTAAAAGATATTGTTAAAGAAAATAGAAAAAAATATGAAGCTCATTTTAAAGAAACAGAAGAAATTGAGTCATTGTATAATCAATTATCATTGGATATGAAAGAAAACGAATGGGCTGAAATTGTTGCTAATAAAGAAAAAGAAAGTGCATGGTCAAGAGAAATAGAAGAAGAAGATAATCCTGATTTTAATATAATACATACGAAGAAAAATAAAAATACATCAGTTGATTTAAAACAAAATTTTTTTACTACTGATGAAATGAGACCATTGTTAGATTCAATGAATGAAGAACAACAACATATATTTTATCATGTTCGAGAATGGTGTGTAAATCGTTTACATGATTCTGACGTTGAACCACTTCGTTTGTTTATTACAGGAGGAGCAGGAACAGGAAAAAGTCATCTACTTAAATGTCTTCATTATGAAGCAACGAAAATTTTTTCTCGTAAAAAACATTTAGCACTTGATGAAAATATTGATGAAGTTCACACTTTGATCACAGCATTTACAGGTGCAGCAGCTGTAAATGTTGGAGGAGTTACAATTCATAGTGCTTTTGGTATAGGACCTCAATATAATAGTATGAATGATAATTTATCTTCTGAAAGATTAAATACCTATCGTTGTAAATTAAGTACATTGAAACTACTATTTGTTGATGAAGTTTCTCTGATACAATCGAGTTTATGGGGTGCTATGCATTCTCGTCTTACTCAAATTATGGGTATACATTCAAATACTGCTATCTTCGGTAACATAGGTATTATTGCAATAGGTGATTTTTTTCAATGTTCACCTGTAGCATCATCAAGTATCTATTCTTCTTTACTATGGACAGATCATTTTCAATATGTCGATCTTAAAATAAATGAGAGACAAAAAACAAATGTTTTTTTCTCACAAATGCTTAATCGTATTCGAAAAATAAAAAAAAAAGAAGATATGACTAAAGAAGATCGTGAAGCACTTGAAAAATGTCATCAACGTTATTTGAATAATGAATATAATCCCGAAGCATTACATCTTTTTGCTAAGAATGCTCAAGTTGATGCACATAATGAAAAAATGTTAGAAAAAATTTGTACTAATATTCGAACATTCTATGAAGTTAATAATAATAATATTCAGGTGAAAGCAAATGAAAATAAACAATCAAAAAAAAATAGTACACCACTACGTCTTGCTAAGAATGCTCGTGTAATGATAACAAAAAATATTTGTGTCAATGATGGTTTAGCAAATGGTGTAACAGGTCGTCTTGTAGACTTTGTAGAAAATAATAGCAAAGAAATTTCACATATAATAATTAAATGTGATTCATCTAAAGTTGGACGTTTACATCGAGTTAGTTGTCCGCATTGTTATGGAAAAGATACAATATGTGTAATACGAGAAAGTAATACAGTTGATCGTTCTGGTTTTGATTTACAATCAAAGAAAGGAGCAAAACAATTTCCTATTCGCCTTAGCTGGGCAATGACAATTCATAAAGCTCAAGGAATAACAGTTGATCAAATTGTAATAAGTACAAAAAATTTATTTGGTAGTGGAATGGCATATACAGCACTTTCTCGTGTTCGTACATTAGAAGGATTGTTTCTTATTGATTTACATCTTGATAAATTCTATTGTAATGAAAATGTAGAAACAATTATTTCTCAAATGAAACAAATAAAAAATAAAGCATTAGTATTCAAAAAATCTTCAGAATTTTGCAATATACTATTTCATAATATTGAACAATTAAAACCGAACTTTAATGCATTTAGAAATCATTATGTAACATATAAAGCAGATTTAATTTGTCTAGCAGAAACATGGTTAACAGATACTACTAATGTAAATGATTTTCAAATAGATGGTTATAACTTTCTTTATCAAACACGATCATCTTCATATGAATTAAATCATTTACTTCATTCACAAAAAGGTGGTGGTATTGCTATATATTATCGAGAAAATATAGCAATCAAAAAATTTCATTCAAATAAACATTTAAATCTGGAATATATTAGTATTGAAATTGAGAAACATAATATTATCATCATTGTTTGCTATCGATCACCACAACAAAGTAAAACTGAATTTATAGAAAATTTAGTTGAACATTTAAAAGAAATTAATATAGAAAAACGTATTTTAATTATTGGTGATTTTAATGAAAATACTTTAACCGATAAATCAAAAAAAATTGAAAACGAATTTAGAAAATTAGGTTTCGATAATCTATTTCAAAATATAGAAACAACAAATAGTATGACAAGTATCGATTGTATTTATTCAAATTTTATAATAAATAAAGATCTATGTCGAGATGTTGTAGGAACCTACTACAGTTTTCATGAAGCCTTAACTTGCTCTATTGATCTAGAAAATAACATAGCTTTTCTAAATAAAGAAACTGAATTTAATCATGATCACAATATGGAAATAGAAAATCATTCACAAAGCTCAATATCTATGATTAAACTTTCTCATCATAAAAATAAACGGAAAAAATCGCCAGATAAAGAGGTTTCTAATAAAATTTTTAAAAAAAATTTATCATCATCTATGAATTCTATCAATTATAATTTAAAAGAAAAACAATTTAAATTTCTTCAAAATTTCCATAAGATCCAAGAAAATTTTAATAAAGAAGAAAACCAGACTAACTTCACTCTAAGTGAACAATTAAATAATATTGGTTTTAAAATAAAACGTGTAATAGGAGATGGCAATTGTTTCTTTCGTGCAATTTCTTATCAATTATACAGACATGAAAACAATCATAGGAATCTTCGAGCTATAACAATAGAATATTTGATTAACAATATAAATGATTTTGCACCATTTGTTGATGATGAATTGGATTCATCAATAGATGATTATATTGAACGAATGAGTAAATATGGAACTTATGCTGATCATCTAGCAGTTTTAGCTACAGCAGCTGTTATTAATAAGAATATAATTGTTCATGAAAAAGATCATACACCTTTATTAATACCTGGTGCAGATTATCTCGAAGATCAAGTGCATGTTGGTTATTATCCAACTAGATTGCATTATGATAGTATTCTTTGTATGGATGATACTTCACCATTTGTACCCAGTGACAATGTATTGTTGGCTATATGATTATTGTTTTCTCTACTTTTTTGTTTTTTGATTCTTCCTATATGTATCATTTTTTTTCAAATACAATCATATATGTGAGTCAAATTAATTCAGTTTACTAAAATACATTAATATATGATTTAATAATTTTACATATATATGTTTTTTTCTTTTATCTTTACTATGATACTTATTTTTCATTTTCTTGTTTTTTCTTTCTTTATTGTGTCATATGAATGAATGAGCAGATATATTATTTTTACATGTGTATATAACAAAACAAATATGAAATAAATAATACAACAATATGAATGACATTAACTTGATTTTGCATTGATAATTGTACCAATTTAATTTCTCATATTAACATCGAATCAAATATTTATTATGTTATATTTAATTTAACAAATGAATCTCTTCAATTGGCATTACTTGACAATACATCACAATACACAAACACCCATCGATTTTTTGGTAAGTAGTTTACCGTTGATATCTATCTTAATAATAAAAAAAGTTTACATATGTGTTAGAGTAGTTTCACTGGAATTAAAGATCTTTTTCTTATTTATTTAGTTATTGATTATTAACAACTTGAATTTGTTTACACTATTCAATTGATAGAAAGTGGTGATTTATTTATCTATATGATTAATGTGCCAATACTGGCTGGACATCCTTTTTATGATTCATATTTCACGT